TCAATACTTAGCTAAAAAGGTTTGTCAAATAGAAAAGTTTTGACAATGTATTATCAAAGGAGGAAAACCATGAATGAAATGGTACAGGTTAGGGGGAGGGTTTTTCTGTTGTACGTAAAGTTGATATCAGTTGGAGCAGGCTCAATGGCATCTGACAACAGCAGCAATTAACTAGTTTAGATATATAAAAAGATGTCAGCAAATATGCATATGCCTCTGTGTTTCTTCCAGTTTTTGATACTTCCTGTCTCATTCAATATTTTCCCCACAGAATCTCTCAGCACTGAATTTCAGAGTTTGGATTTTTCTTCAATCCTTTAAGTTTGCAAAATGCTAAATATTCTTATTCTTTTGGTGTTCTAAACAATGTCTTTGCATATTTCATAACATTTTGTCTTTCCTGGCTTTTCTCTTTAAATCTTCTGTCCAGCTCTTTAACTTCATTTCTTCCATTTGCTCTAGCCATTTGTATTTTTAGAAAGGATTTGCAATGAATGGTCTATCATGAGATCTCTGACCTCATTTCTGTCACCAAGGCCATATTTTCCAACTACCAGACCTCCTCTTTTGTTTCATACTTTTACATTCAAATTATCAATTATTAATGCACCTTGATTGCATATTGATAAATTTTATACTGTAGAAGTCAGTGGAAATCATCAATTTCTTCATTTTTGGCTTTAGTTAGTGTGATTATTTGTATACTTCTATTAACAATTCCTTGTTATGCTTCAGAGAGTGGGACAATGACTAAGGATGACAGAAGAATAGATGCCTTTGAGTTGTGGTGCTGGAGAAGAGTCTTGAACATACCATGGACTGCCAAGAAAACAAATAGGTTTTTCTTGGAGAGTGAAACCAAGCCTCTCCTTGGAGGCTAGGATTATGATGCTCTGCTTCACTTCCTTTGGGCACATGCTCAGAAGGGTAGATGGACAGTGCAGGAGAGGAAGACTCTGGATAAGATGGATTGATACAGTTACTGGGACAATGGGGGTTGGTGTGTCAGAATTAGTGAGACTGGCTCAGGACAGGGAAGGGTTCAGAGCTGCTGTACATAGAGTAGTTATACATCACAAGTAACTCAATGGTACATGACAATAACATACTATGACAGGTTTGGAAACAGGAATGGAATCTACTTCCTAAAACACATGCCTCCAAAAACTGTATGTACTTTGATAAATGTAGATAGTTGTAGAGGGGATTCAGGCCTTTTGTTCATAGAGTCGCTATGAGTCGTGCTCGACTCAAAGATAATCAACAACAATTAACAAGTCTTCTTTGTATATATATAGATAATGTTCTAACACACAGCACTGTACTTATAATTCAGCACAGATCCTGAAAAGTTCTTTCCAGATAACTCCTAATTATTTCTTTCTCTGTTGATATCTACCAACTGAAGTGCTCATTTGCTTTAGGAAAAGGCAAATAAAATCTGGAACAAAGAAGTAAGTTATCATTTTCATTTCTGAAGGTCATAGCCAAAAATATAACACTTTGAAGTTTTTCAGGAGCCTGTTTTATTAAGAGAGAATATTTTCTTGGCGTTTCCAGAGTTGAGTTTTGAATTTAAGAGGCAAAACAACCAGAATCAAGATTTTACTTTTTATTTAAGCCATAGAAAAGGATAAGGGAAGACAGAATATAAGGTCAGTTCCAGCCAGAAGGGAAGTGGAAATGGGCTTGGTAATGGGCTTGTGTTTCTTGACTGTGCTAGAAGTTGTGCCACACCATCATCTTCAATTTGCCATTTCTGGTGTAGTAGATCATATAATTTTCTGATTCAAAATGGAGAAACCAATGTATCTCAGCTCACTGATGCCAAAAGATTGAATTTGTAGGCATTTCATTTTTGACAGCTTTCAATCTTTTCACTTTCATACTTCATACATTCCATTTTCCATTTATTAATGGATATCCATAGCTGTTTGTCCTCATTTTGATTCTTGCCACATCAACAGATGAAGGTCCTTCATTTGCTGAAAGTTTTTCTCCATCCATGCCATTAAGGCAGATTCTACTTTGGTGGGGGCTCCTGATGGTGTAGGCCACAGACAGCTGCCCTACTAACCCAAGAGTCTAAGCTCTCAGGCAGTTTGAAGGCACCAGAGTTCCAAAGAAGAAACATGGACAATCTCCTGTGTGATTTACAACTTCCGACACCCACTGCAAGGTCATCTTTGAGTCAATTCCAACTGGCAAGAACCCCAGACCAACATCCTACTTTGTGAGGCAGGTCTTCCCCGTTTGCATTTTGCGTTCCTTTCAACCTTCAAACAAACTTGTGATATTATTCATAGGGGTTTAGAGGTCCCATGATTTCAGAAGTGGATAGACAGTCTGCATGATGTTGTTTTCTGCTGGCTCCCAGTTACTTCGGATCAGAAGACACTATTTCTGGTGTCTCCACTCTGTGGAATGAAGGGCCTGTTTGCTTAACTCACTCAGGGCCTAGCAGATTCCCTTCCTAATTTGGTCTTGTTCAGCAACTGAATACCATTTTTCTTTTATTCCAGGCTTGGGGGATGTTGTACTAAGGACCACTACTGGGGACTTGAAATCACTTAACCTTCTCATTCTGGTTCCTTAGTGAAGCTTTCCAGTGAATAAACAGCTGGAGCCACGATGAATCTAACACAGGCCACAAAAAATCAGGCTAATATTTTCAGGCCCATCTGAAAAGTGATTGTACATTAGTTCTAATCTACTGCTTAACTAAAGTTACGTTTGCTTACCTAACGTTATCTCATTCCATAAATATTAAATTACTGGCACTTATAATTACATCATGGCATGTGTCACGCTAAGTGATTCACAGTACTAATAACTACACAACTTTTCTGACAGGCTGCATTCTTCTAGGTAACATCCAAGAACACAAACAGCAAGCATTCCACCCTGGTTCTAGGGAATTACGTTCCTATGTTATACCTGCCTTCCTCATGCCATTTCCATCTCAGCTGACATGAGTTCTAGCATAGCCAAGAAACATAAACCCATTACCAAGTCCACTTCCACTTTCTTTTCTTTTTCCGTTTTCCCTTTTCCTTTTCTATGGCTTACATAAAAAGTAAAATCTTTACTCTGGTAGCTTTGTCTCTTAAATGAAAAGCTCAGTTCTGGAATCTCCAAGAAAATATTCTCCTTTAAAAAAAAAAAAAACAGGCTCCTGGAAAACTTCAAAGTGTTATATTTTTGGTTATGAACTTCAGAAACTGAAACAATAACTTCCTTGTTCCAGGTTATATTTGCCTTTTCTCTAAAGCAAATGAACACTTCAATGGGTAGATATCAAAAGAGACAAAAATATTGGGAGTTACCTGGAATCAAGGTGGTGGCCGTTGAATCACCTGCAACTCATTAGCGACCCTATGTACAACAGCCCTAAACCCTGCTTTATCCTGTGCCAATCTCATTATCTCTGACACACCTACTCTCATTAGCCCAGTCACTGAATCAATCCATCTCATAGAGGGTCTTACTCTCCTTTGCAACATGTCCAAAGTATGTCAAACGAAGCTTCAAAATCCTTGCCTCTAAGGAGCAGCCTTGTCTCACCCTCTCTAGGATGAACCTGTTCATTTTCTTAGCAGTCCATGGTATATTCAATACTCTTCTCCAGCACCAGCACCACAGCTCAAAGGCATCAATTCTCGTTCTATCATCCCTAGTCATTGTTCAGCTCTCCAATGCATAGTAAGTGATTGCAAAGATCATGGCATTTATCAGGCACACCGTAGTCTCTAGACTAACATCTTTGCATACTCTAACCCAGTTAATGTAATAAGTATTATTTATTTCTCTCACACACTAACATGTTTTTGTTTTCTTTCCTCCACAAAATTCTACCAAAATATATTTTACATGATTTTATCTGTATGCCTCTCCCTGCAATTTGACCATTATGCCTTCTTTTGCTTATATTCTTCCCAGGTAGTTATTATATAAACTTTACCTTTTATTTCTTCCTTCTTTTTTTATTACTCCTCTGTCCATTTGATTTCCTGCTCTTGTGTTCATATTAGATTGTATGTATGTGTGTATATATATAATATCTTTTTTTCCTTTTTTTTTACACAATATCTTAAAAATGCAACTTTTAAGCAAATGTACAGCACCAGAGGGACCTCTGGTGGTTTACTGGTAAGGAGCAGCACTGTCAGCTCAAAGGCATGTGGTTCAAATCCACTAGCTGCTCCACAAAAGATAGGATAATCTCCTGTGTGATTTACTGCCTTTGAAAACCTGCTGGAGGGTCTGCTATGAGTTGGTTTGACGTGGCAGTAAAAAACAACCTGCACACTAGCTAAGGTGTATTCTATGAGGACTTCTGTGATTTCTTCACTCTCTCAGAAGAAAAAGAAAGACACGACCTCATTAAATTAAATTGTCCAACAGCCTATACCGCAGTCAAAAGAGAAGCTGATGTCAACTTAACATTTCCTTATACAACTTTCCTAAGTAATAAATGCCATTATCTTGAAATGTCACTGTACTTTCTTAAAGACCAGGACAAACTACAGAGTGTTTAAGTACAATCTATACACACACTTTCTCAGTTCATGTATATCTGTCGTGTTCAATAGCTTGCAAAGGATGAATTTTCCTTTAGAAAATTTAGAATCTTACAAAAATCTTAAATTTCATATTTTAGGCACTGGTTTAATAAGAAAATAAGGCACTCAGGTGATTATTTAAACAGAAAATATTCATGAGCACACTTCTTAAGCTTGAGTCTATGATGTTGTAATTGCTATATGCTACTGAGTGAGAGCCAGCTCATAGCTGACCCTCCAGTGAGTGTTCAGAGGCAGTAAACCACAGGGAAGGAGACTGCCCATCCTCCTGCAGAGCAGCTGGTGATTCAAACCAAGTATCATTGGGAGTGCAGTGCAGCTTCTTACCACTAGGCCACCAGAACTCAAAGACATGCTAATAATGATGCAATAATTTACAACTAGAATAGTCCTAAAATGATTACTGGTGCATCTTACCTTTAATCTGATGGAATTGTTTAACCAGTTCTTTTATATCCATGGGAGTGTTTCCTGAAGGAATAAATACAGAACATCAAATATCATGATCTTTCAAGTAGCAAATATGTAGTGTCAAAAAGAAAAAAACTAATGGTGATTAATTTTCTAAAACACTATGTATGGGAATGATCATATGAAACACAATGTGCACAATGTGAATGAAGGAATCTGTGAACCACAATGAGCATGAATAAAACACAACATATACAATTTCTGTATGCTAACCAGAATAAAACTATCAAGTTTGTAAAAAGTCAAATGAATTATTACAATGGAATACTAGGCAGCACTCAGGAGGAACTATTTTGAAAATACTGCCTAACAAAGGAGAAGACACAATTATGCTAAGTGAACTAACTCTGTCTCAAAAGGATAAATACTGCATAATACCATTATTACAAAAATAGAAAAATGACTAGTAAGATGTGTATAAAAGTCCAAAGGGGGAAGGGGAGGAGAGAGAGGAACAGAAAAAAGGGGGTAAGTGGTTATGGTGGCTGGAAATATGTAAATAAAAAGTAAATTTAAAAACTAAAAGGTTGCTTCATTATAAATGTAATAAAACATGTAGATAGAACAACAAAAAGGAACAAACCTTCTCGAAATAAAATAAGTTCTTTAAAATAAACAGCTGCGAACTGGGTGATGTTTGGCGGATTAGTTTTGAGAACAGCTCTGCTAACTCCCTCCAGCAGAGTCTTGAGGCCATAGGGCACGACAAGTCTGGGCTTTGAAGAAATCATTTTTGGCAGGTTATCTGTAATCTCAACTCTAATAAAGAAAAAAAAATCTTCTAAATGTCATGTCTTACAAGAGGCATGTAATTATTTACATTTTTCTTATGAGTTAAACTGTGGTTGGTTTCTAAAGACAAATTTCTCATTAAAATTATTCATTTTAGTTCTAATTTGTAGATATTAGTGGTTAAAAATAAGCCCTGGTGGTACAGTGGTTAAGTGTTCAGAAGGTCCTCACTCTGAACCCACTCACCGCTCTGCAGGTAAAGATGCATCTGCAAAGATTACAACCTTGGAGACCCTTCGAGGTCTGTTATACTTCGCCCCTTTGGGTTGCTATAAGCAGCAATCAACTCAATAGTGAAGTCTGGGGGTTTTAAAATTCTAGTTGGTCTGTGCCATTGAGTCTGTGGCAACTCACAGCAACCTTATGTACAGTAGCTCTGAACACTGCCCTATATCCTGAGCCAGTCTCATGGTCTCCACACACCTGTCCCCAAACAAACCCACTTAAATTTGTGCTATGTACAAAGGAACCATGTAGTCCTATTAGGAACACTAGAGCAAAACCAGGCCACTGCCTTCTAAGTGGTGGGTACTAGGTGTTATATTTCTGAGGCTGTCAGTCTCAGTGGAGGGGACTGCCTCATTTGTCTTCTGAGGAGTAGGTGGCAGATTCAAACTGTTAACCTTTTGGTTAACAGTCCAACACATAACCAGCGCTCTAGGATGAGATTTAAAACAAAATAATAAAATAGCAAAACACGTTTCCATAAAAAAACTGGTGTCTATTTTGTCCAGTACAGTGAAAAAGATACATGAAGCTAATTTATCTATTTTTTTCTTTCTTTTTTAAAAAATATTTTTATTATTCATTTCAATGAAAATTTACAGACTTTGGATTTCCATTCATTCATTG